GATTATTCATGAAGTTTTAAGTTCATGAATTTCATGAAAATATTCATGAACAAATCAAGAACATTCATGAATATTATTCATGAATATTTCATGAACTGTTCATGAAGTTTCATGAATTATTCATAATCATTTCGCAGGGGTGGATACAGAGGCAGCAATTGATGCCTGCATTCACTCATATCCTAACCAATCCTATTAAACTTAGAAATATTAATTAAGGTCAGCAGGATAACTGATCATCCCAATGTCAAATTGTGTTATTTGTTTTGACTATATGGGATTTTCCGAACAGAATGAAGCTTTAAATTATGTCACTGCAGATTGAGTTTTTGTTACTCTGTTTAAAACTAGGATATGTTGATTTCAAATAAAATTCATCTTGATTTAAATATTGAATGTCTGTCAAATGCTCCAAAGCAGCTATGCAATTTTGTTTTAAACAATACAGATTTTGAGTGAAATTGATCTGATCTGAAATCTGGAATATTACAGCAATATCTTCTAAATTATATCCTTATTCTAAGTTATTTAATCAGATTTGTATTTTTAATTATCTTTTTTTATTAACAGTATTTATTCTGCAATAAGCCCAGGGGTACAACACATCAATGACTCAAAGTAGAGGGTTGTCTTATTTCAGAACAATGAAATAACATTTGATGTTATTTCTGGTGAACTGCAATAGATATGGGTGGGCTTATTACCAGGCATGGGCTTATTACCAGGCATGGACTTATTACCAGGCATGGGCTTATTACCAGGCATGGACTTATTACCAGGCGTGGGCTTATTACCAGGCATGGGCTTATTAACAGGCATGGCTTATTACCAGGCATGGGCTTATTACCAGGCATGGGCTTATTACCAGGCATGGACTTATTACCAGGTATGGACTTATTACCAGACATGGATTTATTACCAGGCATGGACTTATTACCAGGCATGGGCTTATTACCAGGTGTGGGCTTATTACCAGGCATGGGCTTATTAACAGGCATGGCTTATTACCAGACATGGGCTTATAACCAGGCATGGACTTATTACCAGGCATGGACTTACTACCAGGCATGGCCTTATTGCTGGATAAATATTGGGTTATTAGATTAATATCATGTCATGCCTTTGTAACACTTATAATTATCAAATTCCTTCAGTTAATGGAGGGCCGCGATGGCCGAGTGGTTGAGGCGTCTGACCATCAATAATCACTAGCCCTCCACCACTGGGTCACAGGTTCGAGGCCTGCGAGGGGCGGTCACCAGCTACTTTTTCTCCGGGAACTCTGACTTCCTTCATACCAAAACCTGGCACATCTTTAAATGACCGAGCTCTTAATAGGGAGTAAAACACAATCAAACCAAACTTATATGGCTGGATTGTGATAGGGCCCAATCGCTGGGACAATATCAAATTTTAGCCATCTTTGGTCAGAAAAAAACTGATACAGTATCTAATATCTATAATCATGCAGATTCATTTTGCCATAATTAACTTGTTTGTAATTCTGAATCAACAAACTCCTGAAATGTATAGGCACTTATGAATTTTGACTTAGAGGTACTTTGTGGTGAAGATTTATGTAAATGACACAAATTAATTGATGAAAGTAAATTATTGACTGGATTCATTCAACTCTAGGGAAATACTAAGGGGTTGACTGCGGAGTCGGATTTGAGGCGGGAACTGAGTTAATAGCGTTCCGCAGTTATTTGACAGTGCACTGCAAGGACCCCCATAGTCTCCCCGGTCTTATTACCGTCGATCTTTCCTCTTCCATGTAACATTATTGGTCATAAAGCACCTTCAATTTTCAATTTACAATCTATATTTGTAATCTTAAAAAAGTATCTTCTTTATGACATGTCTCGTCCTTAAACTCAATTTAGTCAAAGTGCTGTAGGTAACAGCGGCCTGGGTGTCCACTGTAGATGACAGCAACCTCCTGCTATTTTCTGATACATGTATTTTAATAAAAAGAAAAAAATCTGAAAAAAACTTGCCTAATTATTTGGCGCTAAACTTAGTATGCCGTAACACAAGGCTTTCAAACATATTGAATTTGTGTCAACAAAATGGCTTTTAGGCTTTTACAAACAATGAGTGCAAGGCTTTCAGATTCTTCAAACAATGTTAGATTTTCCCATTTGCATAAAATAACATTAACCGCTGTTGTAAGACAGTTTGATGCATGTGTCTCTGGACTGATCAATCTAGGTCAGCCACTGTACTGCAAAACTTCAGATCACTAGAGATATTTGAGGATTCCGGTCCCAGGCAAAATACCAGAGAGTTCCACTGTAGTTTTTTGTATATTTATTTACCTCCCTATAATTTTGTTTTGGAATAAAACGGTAGCGCAACTAAGCTAGGGTACTACCTTTGACCAGAAAGTCCAGCTTTCGGATCCTGGGCCCGTATTCATTAATTTCTGTTCTCATTGCTCAAAGTCAGAATTTTGTGCTCAAGCCTAAGTTCTCATTCTAGTGATAAACAAATGAAAATTCACATTTTGTAAAAGATTTGCAAGAATATTTGAGATTCTTAGGGCTGACTATCTTTTTCGATGTTTAAACTTGACTCTTTGGACGTGTGACATGATTTTAAGCCAGCTAGCTGCAAGAAATTGTGTTTGAGCACAGAAACCATGCTTGAGCACAGAAACCATGCTTGAGCACGAGAATGGTTTCATGAATATCGGCCCTGGTCTAGCCTTCAGAATTTTTTCGCACAAAACATTGTTGTTGTTTATGTTTGTATATTTCATCTTTTAATTTTTTTTTTTGTAAAAGTCCTGCAAGTTGTATGGTTTTCTTTTCAGAAATGATTTGTCAAAGCTTAGTAGTAATACTGGAAAATACAGCTTCTCATGCCTACTTTTAGTAGTGGTACGGGGATTCTTTAACATTGTCTGCACAAGTCAAATTTGGAGAATTTAAGATGAAGTACAGGCACAATGACTTCAAGCAATGTGTAAGTCTGGGCCATATATCCTACCTAACGCGGGTCTGGGGAGGTCCCCTGGAAACGTACGTTTGCCTGAACATCTCAGGAATGATTTTGTTCTGAAGGCTGTTTACTTGTCGCTTAAACATGAAATAAATAAGATTTTTCTATAACTAAAATCATTTCATACATGCTGAAAATAGAAAATGTCTGTAAGACATAAATGCCTTCGCTCATGGACGGGACGGGACGTGATAGACATGGGCAACACTATATGCCCCCTCCCCCCCATTTTATGGCGGGGCATAAAAAACACACTGTACATATCTTCACGCAATGTAGTCCCCCCCAACAATCACTGGCATAATCGTCAAAACTTAAGAAGAAGTACAAGAAAATTAATGTTTAATGGTTGGGTTCAAATTCTTTCTCAAAAAGATTTTTTAGAAGGTAATATAATATAAGGAGCAATTTGATGATGAGAATGGTACATAGCTAATTGGGAATTCAGAAATTATTTCTCTACATTTCAAAGACAAACAGAAACGTATATTTTTTTTAATCACTGGGTACTTACTTGTGATATGGCGGACAGGGATATTTTATATGATCAGATTTAAACAAATGTGAACCTTTTCAATGCAATAAAACCCAATTCAATATAATGTAACATCATGTGAACTCTTTAACTCATTCACCCCTGAGGACACATTTGAACTCTTCCAATTCAAAGGTTGGAATAGTTCATTGTGAAATTTCAGGGGTGAGTGAGTTAAATGTAAGGTGAACAAACCAAATTTGTTTCAAGAGGAAATGAGAACCAGTCGAACTCGTACACAATATGAAGCAGACAACAATGGCATAAATCAGAAAACTACTCAAAGACGACAGCGCTCAACTGTCCCGCGAGAACCATCCAGAGCTAAAATGTGTATTTCTACATCACAACAGAAATCCGTCCTGCGATTATATTGCAACCCCATGAATATGCTTTTTGTGGCTTCTATTGTTTTCGAGCTTCATGTTACAATTCCAACCTTGAATTCATGCAAATGTTCAAACAAACATAGCCACATGCTGATGTATTGTCGATTCGAAAACTGTGAAAAAACTCAGAAATAATTCAAAGGAAATTGTTTAGAAAATGAGTAAATCTTTAAATTCAAACTTTAAGTACCTTCCCTATGTTACAGATAATATCCATAGCTATTGTTTATGGTAGAGGTTAAGTTTCCACGTAATGAAAGCTGATGTGCAGTTAACAGTTTAGTTGATGACAACTTTAGAATACTGAATTTCTGATTTGGTGATACACATTGATTTATCAACCCTCAGAAAACGATATTCACCAATTTCACACAGGATATGACAGCATTACTCCAGCTGGAGCATCTTGTGCAATCAGACCAAAAAATTTCAGACTCTACTTATGAGGTTGATACACTAATGTATCACCCCCTGACTAACTCATTCACTCCTGAAGACACATTTGAACTAGTATTAACCGATAGTTGTCGAATTTTCACCTGGTCAGAAAAAAACAATTTGAAACAACGAGAACTTAATCAGAAAGTCATAAAACGATAGCTCAATGTTTGTCTATCTATAGTCAAGTCTGTCTAAATTGTAAAATGTCCGCCAAAATCAATATCCACAATGTGCAATAAGTACAACACCCCTATCTACACCATTGTTACTATGATAATCTATACAGCACTAATAGTGAGCCAGAGATATACAAAGTATTTGTCCAAACCAGCTTTATAGACAGACGGGCGGACCCTGTTCCTATATTCCCCGCCAACTTCATTGAGCGGGAAACATCTATAGTGCAGGTAGCGGTGACAACATTCCAGGATTAGATCCAAAACGGAAATCAGGTAAAAAGTAGGGTGCACTTTGTCTACATATTTCGTTTTTATTTCATCTTCTTTTCGTCTTCTTTGCTCCATCAAATCCGACGTATCTTGATCCTTGGCTTAAGAGGTCAATCAAAAACACATTAAAATTGTAAAAACTAAAAACACAAAAAAAAGGAACAAGATAATGTGACTTACTGTTGACATCGAGGTAAACCCAGGTACCGTTACCAGTCTTATCCTTCACACCGTCCACAACAATGTACTGGCACTCATACCATCCCTCGTCTTCGGCACGGATATGTGAGATCTCCAACGAAATCCCGTTAACAAGTTTAATCCGACCCTCAAACTGTGGATTCAAGATCGGTTGGTAACCTATATACTGGAGGTAAACCTCCTGGGAGAGGCCGTCCTTTTTCCACTCGATAACCCTGTTGCCCTCTTTTTTATTGTCTATTGTCATCTCACAATCAAGCACCAAACTGCCGCCGAGGTTTGTCGCCTTTCTCGTCTGTACCCCAGTTATCGTAACAACAGCTGAAACGACACAAAAAAACATTTTGAAAATAGATGCATAAAAATATTGCAATCATTTTGCTTTTTTTTCTAAAATTGACTTTCAACAGCTCCTGTTCCAGAAAGATTAGCCGCAGTAAAAATGTTACGTTTCAAAGGTTAAAGGTCACCGTGCGATAGACAAACTCGCAGAAAACAATCTCACACTTGCAGCAAATAACTAAAGAAATTAAATTATAAAAAGATGTTACTAGCGAAAGAACAGTATATATCAAGATAAAGGTAAATATTTACCAAGTCTCATGTTTACAAATGAATTTGATACAGAATACCAGCCAAACACTTGTATGCCTACTACTGCAGTAAACAATCATAATTACGATCGTACCGACGTACGTACTGATCGCCATTTTGCTACTATAACTATATGAAATGTAACTGCATACTGAAATGAAATACAAATAATATCTTTATTTCTATACTTATACTATATTTCAACTAGACAAAAGAACAAGGTTAGTTACAAAATATCTTTATTTTAAAATCTTCTTCGTAGAGTCACATCACTTAGGCATTTTACTAAGTTCACTACAGGTTTTCAGGGCTGAAAAACGTCAGAAAATACATATTCTGTTTATGTCATGTTTCTGTTAATATCATGTTTTTCTCTGACAAATGGGAAGTGATATTAAGCGAAATCTACTGTTGTTCAATTGAAAAAGTTTGAGCCATTCTTGAGAAAGAGTTTTTCTGTTATCTGGAAGTCCCTTTTTCTGTCTCTGAACACTTAACATCATAACAACTGCTTGAATGCAAGGTATTTTTCCCAAACAACATGTGTAATTTAAAGAAACACTTTATATAAATTTCATTTAATTGATATTGGAGGATATTTAATTTTTGGAAGTTGCATCAGAAATGAGTATTCCATTCTCACAACAACAACACACATTTTCAATTATTGGATGCAGAGCTTCTTGTCCTGATTGATGCGTGGGCTATTCTAATCAATGAACATCCCCACACAAGGAGGGGTTTTATCCGTTACCTTCACCTTATATATGAACAGACGATGTATAGCATTAACCAATGAAATGACACGAAGTTAACTCCCACATTAATTCATTCACCCCTACATATTTAAAATGGACTTGCCCAGTCATTGATTTGGTAAATTTTCAAGAAGAAATTCATTTGATTTTGAAAACTGAATCATCTTCTGAAATTTTGAAATATCATAGAAAATGTCTTGTGATGTCATCTTGTGATATATATCTTAGATCTGTTCAAGGTTCTGATGTCAATCGAAATTATTTCTTCATCAACTGCAGCCTTTTGTTGGATGATTTAGTGAATATGATCCAGGGTCATTTTTAAGTTGAGATTTAACTCTATTCCAAGCAGAAATAAGTGCATTTTTTGGTAAAGTTTTTCCAATTAAAATATCTTGAATTTTCTGTATTTTTGTTATATTTTCATCTTGTATTCCAATGAATTACAACATTAAACATCTAATATTAAATAATCTCTTGCAATAAGGATGTCTATTCATTACATCTCCAGCACACACGCAAGCATACACACATAGGGAGATATTAGCCAGGTGGCATAGGACTAGTAGTTAGCACCTGATAAGGCAGCTCCTGCTAATTCCTCAAAATTGTAAACGATTAATGTATATATTAATTGTATAAGTTGTATATCTATGTACTGCAAAGCGCTTTAGAGTGGCTAATGTTAGCTAGATAGGGCACTATATCAAATGTTGTATATTATCATTATTATTTAGAAGACAATGCGGGGAAAAAAAATAACGAAAAAATTCAGAATATTTTTTGAAAATAAAATTGCATTTATTTTATTCTGACTTAATTTCCAAATTCTAAATCCTACATTCCAAAAACAGAGGAAAAAACATGATGTTCAGTGTCTACCAGGATTACCAGCACCATATGCCAAGTCTGTTTTCATTGTTTGAATAGCTGAACTAACATGGCAGCAATTGGTTTTGATTTTAGAAGAAATTTCCCCATGATGCTTCATCATCTTTGCGATCCTCCCTTGACAAATACAATCATGGAACATGTCCGGCTATCGATGTGTTTGCTGATGAGACGATCAGTAAACACCATCAGTCCATGGCGCGTACCAAGCTGACCTTACTTACGATCCTGTGATATTTAATTCATACCCCTTAAGGGCTCAACTGTTCAAAGTATGAGTGGCTTAATCCATTGTAAACAGTTAAGTTCCAAATCCAAAGTGTGACAAATATCTGGAGATTTATAAATATTTTTGTGATTCTTGTCTGCAGTTGATAAATATTAAAATTAAAACAATATTTTTATTTGAATATTTGCATTTTGTCCACATTTACAAGATGGACATTTTGTGTTAAATTATCATTAAGCTTATCAGATTTAGACCTGTGTTTGTATCAAGCCTTGTCAACCATTTAACGAAAATGTTTCATCTAGTATATTCTCAAAACTACTGAAATTAATAAATAAAACTACATGAATAGGGATTCAAAATATCCATCTGAGGACAAAATATCACCATTTGTTTTGTAAATTTGTAGCAATTTTTCACAAATCGCATTTTGAAAATTTGTGTTTATGACTGGTTAAGCACACCAGGCATCAAATGGTAAGTCTAGGTAAGATGCTTCACTCACAAAGACATGTATCCCTTTTATTACCCGATGTTGTAACCATCAAAATCAGGCCTCTCCTTTCATATTGAATAAATAATTAAAGAAAAGTATCTCAAAAGAATGGGTTTCAACGTTTCTACTGTTATTTGTGTATAGAGGGTACTGAGGAGAAGTTACTGGCCAGTAAGCTGTAGGATACAAGGAGTCGTAGGATACGGTAAGACTTGGAGCACAACCATCACCCCCTGGGCGTGAAATGGTCCATAGGCATTCATAACTGTTCACACTCACGCATATAGCATATCAATTCTCAAAGGGCCTATAACAGTTCTTAGATCATAGATCATCAGTTCTGTAGGCAAAGGCACTCTTCAAAGCCCATAGAAAACGAGCTGCCAAGGGCAAGTCAGTGTTCATAGACCATTGAAACACACTCAAATGGAATGTAATGGTTCATAGACCATTGACACACACTCAAACGGAAGGTAAGGGTTCATGGACCTTGAAACAGACTTAAATGGCAGGTAATGGTTTATAGACAATAGAAATCAGATCCAAAGAGTAGGCAACAGTTAAAAAAACTATAGAAACAGACTCAAATAGGCAATGGTTCATAGGCCGTAGAAACAGACTCAAACGGACCATAGAAATCAGATCCAAATAATGGGTAATGGTTTACAGACCAAAGAAACTAGTTTCAAACGGAAGGTAATGGTTCATGGACTACAGAAATCAGTTTTGGATATACCACAGGAGACAGCCTCCATAGCACACTGAAGTGTTCACAGACTATAGAAATCAGTTTTGGATATACCACAGAAGACAGCCTCCATAGCACACTGAAGTGTTCACAGACCATAGACATCAGTTTGGGATTATTGGATTACACGTGGCTGTTCATATACCACAGAAGACAGCCTCCATAGCACACTGAAGCGTTCACAGACTACAGAAACCTAAAAGATAAAATATGGTTAAAAGACCATAGAAATAGGTCATGGTTCATAGAAACCAGACCTAAAGGGCATGGTAAGGTTTCAACTACCATAGCAAACATACCTAAAGGGCAGGGTAAGGTTTCAACTACCATAGCAACCATGCCTAAAGAGCAGGGTAAGGTTTCAACTACCATAGCAACCATGCTGGCATGGTAGGGTTCAATTACCATAGAAACAATGCCTAATTTAGACCCAGAGGACATGGTAGGGTTCAATTACCATAGAAACCAGACCTAAAGGGCATGGTATGGTTTCAACTACCATAGCAACCATGCCTAAAGGGCAGGGTAAGGTTTCAACTACCATAGCAACCATGCCTAAAGGGCAGGGTAAGGTTTCAACTACCATAGCAACCATGCTGGCATGGTAGGGTTCAATTACCATAGAAACCATGCCTAATTTAGATCCAGAGGACATGGTAGGGTTCAATTACCATAGAAACCAGACCTTAAGGGCAGGGTAGGGTCCAATCTCCATAGAAACAATGCCTAAAGGACATGGTAGGGTTCAATCTCCATAGAAACCAGACCCAAAGGGAAGGGTAGGGTCCAATCTCCATAAAAACCAGACCTAAAGGGCATGTTACGGTTCAATCTCCAAAGAAACCAGACCCAAAGGACATGGTAGGGCTCAATCACCATAAAACCCAGACCCAAAGGGCAGGGTAGGGTTCAATCTCCATAGAAACCAGACCTAAAGGACATGGTAGGGTTCAATCTCCAAAGAAACCAGACCCAAAGGACATGGTAGGGTTCAATCACCATAAAACCCAGACCCAAAGGGCAGGGTAGGGTTCAATCACCATAAAAACCAGACCTAAAGGACATGGTAGGGTTCAATCTCCAAAGAAACCTGACCCAAAGGGAAGGGTAGGGTTCAATCACCATAAAAAACAGACCTAAAGGACATGGAAGGGTTCAATCTCCAAAGAAACCAGACCCAAAGGACATGGTAGGGATCAATCACCATAAAACCCAGACCCAAAGGGCAGGGTAGGGTTCAATCTCCATAGAAACCATGCACAAAGGGCAGGGTAGGGTTCAATTACAATAAAAACCAGACCCAAAGGGAAGGGTATGGTTCAATCACCATAAAAACCATGCCTAAAGGGCATGTTACGGTTCAATCTCCAAAGAAACCAGACCCAAAGGGAAGGGCAGGGTTCAATCACCATAAAAACCATGCCTAAAGGGCATGTTACGGTTCAATCTCCAAAGAAACCAGACCCAAAGGGAAGGGTAGGGATCAATCACCATAAAAACCATGCCTAAAGGGCATGTTACGGTTCAATCTCCAAAGAAACCAGACCCAAAGGGAAGGGTTGGGTTCAATTACCATAGAAACCAGTCCTGCAGGGCAGGGGATTT